GGCAACGGGATCGCAAGCCTTGGTGCTGCTCCCGCGCCTCGCCCAGCCAGTGAGCGGGAACCGGTCTGCATGTGGGATCCGAACCCTCGGACAGGAGCGCTGCCGCGCTTCCCAAGCGGCGCACCATCCAGTGCGCCACCGGGCCGGCCCAATAATTTTTTATTTTTAATTGTGGTAAAAAACGTATAGCATAAATAAAATTTACCATCTTAACCATGTTTAAGTATACAGGTAAGTAGTATTAAGTATATTCACATTGTGGTGCAGCAGATCTCCAGAATTTTTCATCTTCCAAAACTGAAACTCTAAACCCATTAAACAACAACCCCATTTCCCCCTCTGCCCTAGCAGCCACCATTCTAAGTCCTTTTTCCATGAATTTGATTAAGATACAGTATTATACAGTATTTGCCTTTTTGTGACTAGCTTAATTTTACTTAGCATAATGCCCTGGGGGTTCATCCATGTTGTAGCCTTCCTTTTTAAGGCTAAGTAATATTCCATTGTATATACAGTTAGGTATCACTTATGATCATGATACATTCTGAGAAATGCATCATTAGGCAATTTATTCCTTATGCAAACATCTATCTCCATGTGTACTTGTGCAAACCTAGATGCTATAGCCTACTACACACCTAGTCCTATATGGTATATAACCTCTTGCTCCAAACACTGTCGTGTATGTGGTCCATCATTGACTGAAACATTATGTGGCACATGACTGTATATGCCACATTTTGTTTCTCCATTCATGTGTTGATGGACATTAGTTCTATCTCTTGGCTGTTGTGAATAATGCTGTAGTGAAAATGGGTTTGCAGGTATCTCTTTGAGGTTCTGCTTTCAATTCTTTTGGATACATATCAAGAAGTGGGATTGCTAGATCATACAGTAAATTCTGTTTTTCATTTTTGTATTCCATAGCAGCTGCACTGTTTTACATTCCCACCAACAGTATATAAGGGTTACAGTTCCTTCACATCCTCACCAACAACTGGTATTTTCTTGTTGTGGTGGTGTTTTTTGATAGTAGCCATTCTTCTCCTGGTTATGAGGTGTGATATGTCATGATTTGTTTTGCATTTACCTGATGATTGTGATGTTGAGCATCTTTTCATATACTTACTGACCATTTGTATATCTTCTTTGGAGAAATGTCTACTCCCATATTTTAATCAGGTTATTTTGTTGTTAAATGTAGGAGTTCATTATATATTCTGGACATTAATACGATTTGCAAATATTTTCTCTCATTCTATGGGTTGCCTTTCGCTGTTCATTGTGTCCTTTGAGGTGCAGAAGTTTTTATGATTGATATAGTCCTATTTGTATATTTTCCTTTTGTCTCCTATGCTTTTGGTGTCATATCCAAGAAATCACTCCAAATCCACTGTCAGAAAGCTTTTTCCCTGTTTTCTTCTGGAAGTTTTGATAGTTTTAGGTCTTACATTTAGGTCTTTGATCCATGTGAGTTAATTTTTTGTATATGGTATAAAACGTAAAGGTCTAATTTCATCCTTTTGCATGTGGATATCCAGTTTCCCCAACACCATTTATTTTGGTTTTTTGGGTGGTTTGGGGGGGGGGGGGGTTGGCTGATAGGGAACTCTTGACCTTGGTGTTGTAACACTGTGCTCTAAACAACTGAGTTAATCGGCCAGCCCAACCAACACCATTTGTTGAAGAGACTATTGTGTTAGATTTTTTAAATGCCCTGAAATGATGAGTTTGGAAGATTTTCTTTTTCTTTTTTGGGGGGGGGGGGGTTGGCTGATAGTGAACTCTTGACCTTGGTGTTGTAACACTGTGCTCTAAACAACTGAGTTAATCGGCCAGCCCAACCAACACCATTTGTTGAAGAGACTATTGTGTTAGATTTTTTAAATGCCCTGAAATGATGAGTTTGGAAGATTTTCTTTTTCTTTTTTAGTTGAACTCTATTGGCTTTATTGCTATTCTAGAATCAGGCAACATGTTATTCCGTAAAATAGAATTAATGTTCCAACGAGCCAAGCAGAGGAGGTTGGTTCTATAGACAGAAATAAGCTAAATAAAGCAGAAACAAAGAACAAAATGTGGATTGGTCATTTCAAAGTTACTTTCCTTGTAAGGTGGGGACAGGAAGAAAAATAACATCAGATTACTTCAGGCTATCTCTTTTGTATAATGATTAAAGTAGAGAGAACTTCATTCTTGTAACCTAATTGAAGATTTAAATTGGCTGTCAGATTTTCTATAAAGGATGTTTTTCACACTGAAATTTAGCATTAGTATTTTCTTAGTTATTGATATGAATATAATTTCAAGTTTCGTAGGTATGATGCAGAACATTTTAATAAATTTTTAACATTTTTAAGTGATCATTTATCTCTGTGGGGTTTTCATGTTTTTTTTATCAACCTTCTGTGATATATTAAAAATCAAAATTTGATATAAGACAAATTCCAAGTCATTATCTTTCCAAATGCCTAATATGTATTAAAAATGTTTGTTTTGAACTATTTCTTTAAGCAAAAAGTAATCCAAAATAAAGGATATAGAAATCATTTTCATCATTTTTCCATTCTTTATTGCTTGTAGGGAAGCAGCACGAGAGTGTCGTAGAAAGAAGAAAGAATATGTAAAATGTTTAGAAAACCGAGTGGCGGTGCTTGAAAACCAAAACAAGACACTGATTGAGGAGCTAAAAGCACTTAAGGACCTTTACTGCCACAAATCAGATTAATTTGAGATTTAAATTTTCATCTGTTAAGGTGGAAAATGGACTGGCTTCGCCACAATCAGAAAGACAAAATAAACATTTTATTTTCTAAACATTTCTGTTTTTCTATGCGCAAAACTGCCTGAAAGCAACTACAGAATTTCATTCATTTGTGCTTTTGCATTAAACTGTGAATGTTCCAACACCTGCCTCCACTTCTACCCTCAAGAAATTTTCAGCGCCAGGAATCATGAAGATACTTCTGCTTTTCAACCCCCACCCTCCTCAAGAAGTAATAATCTGTTTACTTGTAAATTGATGGGGGAAATAAGGAAAAGAAAACCTTTTTAAAAATGATTTCAAGGTTTGCGCTGAGCTCCTTGATTGCCTTAGGGACAGAATTACCCAGCCTCTAGAGCTGAAGTAATGTGTGGGCCGCATGCATAAAGTAAGTAAGGTGCAATGAAGAAGTGTTGATTGCCAAATTGACATGTTTTCTTTCACATTTTCATTGTGATTATGTAAAATTGTTGAGTTACACCGTCTAAAAAAGAATTTTAGTATGGTGTTGAAGAAATTAGGAAAGAATTCGGAGTGCTTTCTGTGTACATTTAGCTTCTTCAATACTGAAAATTTATCTTTGATTCCTAAAATCATTCTGTATTAACTACAGCTCTTCCATAGGGCAGTTGTTGCTTCTTAATTCAGTTCTGTATGTGTTCAACTTTTTTGAATACATGAAAAGAAGTAACCAACTGAATGAAAAAGCATGGTATTTGAATTTTAAATTAAAGTACAAAGCTTATTTTAATTAGTACTAAATTCTTGGTAAAAAGATGCTGATTAGTAAACCAACCCCTTGAGTTATATAACAAGGTTTTTAAATAAATGTTTTTGCCCTTGCCTTCAGAAATACTTATATTGTCACTCATTTACTTAAAAAGATATTTAATTTACTGTTGCCCTTTGCACTTACATTGTACCACCAATGGAAAGCCTTCAGGATGTTAAATAAAGCAACTTGATACTTGTTTATGAAACGTTATATGTTGTAGAAAAATACTGACTTTAAATCTTTTTCATATTAACATACTTTAACAGAATCTCTATTGGATTTTCTAAATGAAAGAAGTAAGGATATGGCTCTAAAAAGTACAGTGTTAGAGTGTACAAGGAATTTTCTTCAAACATATTTGAATGACTGCTGTACTACAGTATTTGGATTGTCATTCTTGCAAAACAGTTTTCTAAAAAGAGTAATTTTGCTTTAGCTTTCCAATATGCTATATAGCCTCTGTCATTTTATAAAGGAGCTACCTATTTTAACTCCTGATTATAACAGTCTACATTTGTGTGTATTATACATTGTTTCTAATACTACTTTTAATTACTAATTGCTCCTTTTATTCCTTAAGCGTGATCTAAATGTTACCTTTAAAAGAAAAATAAGACTAAGTGGATTTTAAAAATTGGAGACTGACATAACGTTAGATTATAATCTCTCATTTGAGAAGGAAATTCCTTTTTAAAAAGTCAAGAAATTTAGAAAATTAATGTCTTATATTAAGTCATGGGTTATTTAAGAAAGTTTAACATGATAAAATGTGCAGATGTGAGTGTTAATTATTGGGTCCATTTTTAAAAGTAAGATTTTTAATTTATTTGTAAATGGTATATTTTTGTTTATAACAAACCATTGTCTTTTTTCAAGGATGAACAAAGTTTATGAAGGAGAATCATTCTAAGAATTGAGTGATGTAGTCTTTATATTTGGACAATTCACCAGATTCTCAAGAAGGCTTTCAAACGACTGTAAAGTTTGATATTTGTCCTGCTGACCTAATGGGGAAAGTTATAGCATACAAATTGTTTGTATACCAGCATAGTTAATGTCATTTTCTAAAACTGGTTTAATAGAAAACCAAGGAAAATCACAAATCTTTTCACAAACTGGAATTATTTTGTATTGGGTCAAAATGTCAAGATTGAACATTTTGAATGTCGTCAGCATTATAAGTGAAAAATTGTCTAGTGAGTTGTATTCTCTAAAGTCTTTTTCAAAAGTTAAGGCTTTCTACTTAATTAGGAAGTTGGTGGTCCTCTTAGTCCCTCATAAATGAAGGCAATCACATTCACATTAGCTGGCTGGATTTGTAAGTTATAAAAACCTGGTCCTTTATACCTGTTCCTTGAGGATGATTGCCCTGGTTTGAAGTCACTTACTTAATGATGAGGTGAGAAATGTATTCTTTTGCTAAATCTGTTTTAGACCCTCTATAGATAGAAATCAAGCATCTTTTGTGCAGGCTTTTTTTTAAAAAAAAAAACACAAGAATTGGAAAAAAGGTGTTTGTTTTTAAGCATGCAACTTTGAGAACCTTTATTAAAGAAAATGACATAATTTTTTAAAAAATCTTGTAGCCAAGAACATATGTGGCCACATTACCAGTAATGTTTTTTTCTTCATATTGGCAAAAAGGGAATGAAAATGTCATCATAGGAATCTGTACATATGCTACTGATTTTCCCTAGAAATAGCAAGTTTGGTATTGCTCACTTTGCAGATACAGGGCCACATGGCACTTTTATCTACAGGACAGATTAACTCTAATAAAAATGAAGTGGGGAGGGGTTTATTTTTGATATATTACTCTTGTGAGTTTTCAAGCTTTGATAGTGTTTAACTGAAAAGTGGTTTAGAAAGGGCTAGATCCAATGTCTTCACATTATTAAAAAAAAATGCTATCAGATACAATTTTAAGTTCATTCTTTTTCAAACTCAAGTACCATATTGGCAACCATAATATTGTCATAGGTGCTCTGTTCATTTAGATATTTTTGGGGGGGGGTGGCATTTGTATAATATATGTGTACATATATATATATATATATACATACAGTATATAATCTAAAGCTCTGAGAGCTCTTAAGTCAGGAATGCTGAGTATTATAGTATATTGAGATCAGATGAAATTTTACATTTTGTGTGTTCTATTGCATCCCTTCTTGTAGTTTCTATGACTGCATTACTCCAGCACTCATTGATTTTTATCTTCTAATTTTCATCCAGTATTTTATTTTTCATTAGTTTTCTTTGGCTTGATACTCTTATATATGCTGTTACTAGTCACTTGAAAACTCCTCCCCCCCAAACTATTCGGTTTTTATGCTTTGTCTCTGGCAGCTATAACAGTGGTTAGAGCATTTTGAAGATAGCTTTTGAAAGGAACCACTGATTTTTCAAAAATCATCCTCGGGGAGGAATTTCACTTGAGCAGGGATTTTGTCAGAAAATGTGTTTTGACGGTAGGTCAGCAGCAGTGCTAGTATCTGAAAGCACAATACCGGTCAGGCAGGCTGTCCAATCAGAAGTCATCTGGCTGAAGTTTATCTCTGTCTCTCAGGACTAATCCCCACTATCTTTTTAACCATTTGTGGTGACATGTGGAATCATACAAAGGCTTAGGAAGAAACAAGTTTGCTTAAACCAGGATACTTTTACTTACTTGAACTGACTTCAGTCTAGATTTCTTCTTTTCACGTTTATCGGATTTTTAATTGTGATCAACTACAGTCAGCTATTAAGGTAAATTGGTCTCTGTTTATTTTGAAGATCAAAGGATGCTTCATTTTCCAGGATTAAATAAAGCTAATATATCTTAAATTTAAGATTTTGAATTAAAGTGGGTTTTAGAAACAGTGGTTACCATCCCTTTTTCAGTTATTTTCAAGAGGCTTTATTTTGTTGCCTTTGTAGCCCTGAAAACTTGGTATATTGTTTCCCATTGACCCAGTACATAAGTTGTATATTTATTCAAATTATATTTGCATTATATTCTTTGTAAATGTTTGGTGTAACTTGCACTTTTTTAAATGACCCAGTTTGGGTATTAGCAACTTAAGAAATCCTCTCATCAATTATCAACTGACTTTGGGTCCTCCTCCTCTCTTCAAATCATGTGACTTTTTTAATGAAAATTTTTCATTGATTAAAATATTTTATCACCTAAAAACTAGCCTTAAAAATAGCTGTAAAAGAAAAATATCTGGAAATTAGATTTTCCTAGCCCAGTTAATTATAAGATGGGCTCAAACCTTATTCTTTCATCATGGAGACTGAAGGAAAAGTAAACCAAGTGAATAATATTTATTTCCAATTTTAAGTGAGACTTTATCCTCACCCCAACATTAATACTGTCTATAATATGCCAAAATATCCATTCATTTGTTCAGAGTAGTAAAAGATTTTTTTTTTCCTTTTTTTTTTTTTTTGTCTTTTTTACTGACCGGTAACGGGATCGCAATCCTCGGTGTTGCGCCCGTACCGGGGACTGGCAATGGGATCGCAACCCTCGGTGTTGCGCCCGCACCGCGCTCAGCCAGTGAGCGGGAACCGGTCTCCACATGGGATCCAAACCCTCGGCGGGAGCGCCACCACACTCCCAAGCGGCACACTCTCCAGTGCGCCACTGGGCCGGCCCAAGATTTTTTTAAATAGTTATTGTCATCACAGAGACCACATGTAATAATCATTTCACCAAATTATTTTCACTTTAGGTTGGTTGTGTTAACATCAAAGAAATGCTTAAATTTGATTGATTTCAGATAAGGAGAGGGGGAAAGTGAAGTGTGTTTAGTAAGCCTGTAAGTGAAGAGTTGTGGAATAAATTTGTTCAGTTGTACAAAGCACAACTAGAATTTTTTGTTGGGTTGCGTACATACATCTTTAATACTTTTAATGTTAAAGTTGACTTTTTTAAGTTGACTACACAGTCATTAGGAACTGGTTTCCTTGACTTTCTAGAATCAATGGCTAGGAGAGGAATAATCCTTAAGGGGTCGAACATATCATAAAGCTGAGTCAGTATGGAAGAATTTCAAATAAATCAAACAGGGTGCTGAAGTTCCATCTGTCTCATCTGCTTATGATAAGTTCTTATTGATTAGTGAATGTAGCTTAAGCCTTTGTATGTGTCCTCAGGGGGCAGACAAACTTTAAGAGGGACCAGATAACGTTTGAATGGAGGGATTATATTTCAGGTGTTTTAGCTTGAAATTTATTTTTTAAAAAAAGAAAAAATAAAAAAAATAATAAAATAGAACAAAGCCTGTAAAACAAGCTGATATTATAAACAGGCACAGTTGTTTAGCACAGAGAGAATATTGACCTGTCTGCATTCTGGTACTGTGGATACAGGTCCCAGCTGGGTATAACATGATACTTTTAAAATTATTCTCACCAGCAAGTAAAAGGAGAATGAACAATCTTCAGAAAATGTCTTTGAAAAGGGTCAACCAGTAGGAAATTCAAATTTTACTTACTTTATAAGGCATTATTTAATACTTGCCTATAGAAGTACAGCATTTCCAAGCTTCTGTCTGAGGAGCATCTCAGAAATGTGAGAGTAAATCTGAGATGGCTTAAAAATTGGTAGGGAAGGAAGAAAATCCCTGCAGATAATGATCTTATGTTTGTTGGCCAAATGAAATGGTCTATCATTGTTTGGGAGGTTTTATTTTCTTACATTTTAAAAATTGAATTGGTAAATGCTTTATAGACATTTTTATCCAGGTGCCACTCCAATTTGTGTATGTAATAAAATTATTTATATTGAAATTGGGAAATAATTTGTCCACATTTTTCTGTGAGTATAGATTAGGGGTGGCAAAGAGTGCTAGTTAGCAGTTTTCCATGTAAAGTTGACTGATTTGTCCCATGTCAGTTGTAAGTCTCTTCCCCACAAAATGAATTATTTCTAATCCAGATGTTACCACTTGAAACTTTTTAGAAACAATAATCAGGGAAGTTCCTGGAAAGGTGGTTTTTTGTTGTTGTTTTTCCTGGAGCATTGGGGTAAAGAATACCTCCCCCAAAACTATTAGCACAAAACAGGGTATGATTTTTAACTCTGATGTTTCTATTGGAGTTGAATACTAAATAACTATAATGAGGGAAATACATTTCTAATAAAATTCCCTACATTCTAGAAACATCCCTGTTTTAATTTTTTTACCTGAATCTCTTTGTGCTATATGTATAAAGGAAAAAAATGTACTGAGTTAACAATGCATTTTATTAACACTATGTACATATTAGCTGCTTTGTGTTCAGAATGGTAGCAATTGCTTTGTATATTAAAGTGATCCTTGTGAATTTGTGAAATATTGTCATAAAGTGCTTTTTCTTACTGTAATCTTTGTGGTATCAACTGTCATAATGCCCTTTTTACACAAACATTTTATGTGCAGTCACATAAACATGCTTTTAAAAACTCTGTTAAGTCTCTTTTTTGGGGATGGGATCTCTATATTTTGTATTTTGCTAGTAGTGTTAAGCCATATTTTCTGGAACTTAGGTTTATTAATTTTTTAAATGAGCAAAAGTTATGATATCACAAGGTTGTGTGGCATAGCAAAAGAGAACTGTGATTT